AACCCTTCGGTTTATGACCACACCATTTTTCTTTACTAGATGGAGGTCGATCGACCTCCATGGATCCTGCCCTTGAACAAGCGGGCAGATCGCTGTCAATCAAGTGAGAATCCAACAACTGAGGATGTGATCAAATAATTATCCTGCATTTAGGGGCCAAAGAATGACCCGCACGGACACCAGAGGCTGGTGCCCGAGGAGGTTGACCCAGGCAGTCACTGGAAGGAATAGTGGGGACAGAGATTGGAGTAGATGTAGAGCTATCAACTCTACTATCCATGGAGAACAGAAGACCTCTCACATGGCATGAAAAAGAATCAGATAGAGGCATGGAAAGGTCTGTCTGCACTCCCACTGTAGAAGTGAAGCGTAATGCAGTGGCATATGTCCGAGATGTAGTAGGGTACAATAGCTTCTGAGTCTCAGGATAAGAGATGTCATTAATAGTCTTCAAATGCTTTACCTCTTTCTCCTCCACCCACTTAGGGCAAGACCTAAAGTAAGAGGGGTGGGAACCACTACAATTAACACAGTGAGGGTCAAGTTTGCACTTGTAGGCCTCATGGTCCTTGCCACCACAACAAACAAACGTCAAAATCAGAACTGAGGTCGTCACCATAATTCCATCTTGACAAGTGGAGATCCTTCGAACTGCTGAAACTCCTTGGCTGGAGAAACCAGCAAGGATCTCTGACTCAGGGATAGACTTTAAGTGCCTCTCAACAATAACTCCTCATGACGAATTCAAGGAAGCGTGGGGAGTAACCTCAATGGGTATATCCCCAATGGCCTTTGAAGGTATCCCAGGCCTGTTTTTGTGGATGTTTCAACCAAGATGTCTCCAGCACGGAGCTTCTTAACTGACTTTGGAGAGCCAGCAGGCCCCTCTAAGCCCTTCTGAACAAAAAAGGGAGACATTTGCCCTAAAGATTTATTGGACAGTGAATGCAGGATCAGGAAGCGAGGTACAGGTGTACTTTGTGATGGAGACTGCTGGTCAGAGTCTTCTAAGCGTGGTCGTTTACCGATTAGCAGATTTTAAAAATTTTTTTATTTGGATTGGTGGGATCCACAATTAAGGAGAAAGATTCAGTGCCCACTGACCCCACCCGCCAAGGGGATGCACTACAATGTCAAACAAGGACACTGCAGCAACACCAGGGTTTTGTGAGCACTATACCCAAACACCAGCATCAGACACAATGTCCACAACACCCGTTGAGAATGCCCAA